TGTAGCCAAAGGGTTTGTGCTTGGGTTAGTGTTGACATTTCTTCTTTGATAGCCTTCATGGGTACTTTCCTGTACCACAGATGCTAGAACATAAGAGTGAAGGCTCTGTATAGTAGGCACCAGCTTGACTTCTCCATGTGCAATGAGTTATGTAGGTGTCATCTTCAGCATTGAGGCCTTGCTGTCAGTTTGTGTAGAGCAACCTATCGTCTTGGCAACAGCCTGGATTGTTTGGGGATTTTCACAGGATCCCTATGGCCAACAACTCAACTAGATGTACCCAAGCCTGGTACTAGAAGCTTCACTTGGTGATAAGAGATGTTCCGTTGGGGCTCTGTCTCCCCTATCATTCGGTGATTTCATTTAGATCTCCTTCATGTATGCATATATTTAGGAAGCTTCTACTGTGTTGGGTTTCCATACTACTCCTCAAATGGCCCTTACTTTCAGGTGTCTCTCTCCATATTCCCTCCCCCATCCTCCTTTTCCCTCCCTCTCTCCACTTGATCCTCTCATTCCAACCCCTGGCCCCCAGCCAGAATTCATGCATAACTACCTATTCTATTTCGCTTTCTCAGAGAGACCTATCTGCCATACACCAGTCCCATACTCTATAGCTACGCTCTGCAGTTCTACTGATTGTAACTTGCTAATCATTGACTTAACAGCTAGTGGAATACTTGTCGTATTTGTCTTTCTAGGTCTGGGTTACTTCACTCAGGATGAATTTTTCAAGTTCCATCCATTTACCTGTGAATTTCATGATTTCAATTTTTAATGGCTGAGTAATATTTCATAGTGTAAATGTACATTTTCTTTAGCCATTCTTCTGTTGGGGTACATCAAGTTTATTTCCCATTTCTGGTTATTATAAGTAGAACAACAATGAACACGGTTGAGCCAGTGTCTTTATGCTAGGATGAAGTATCCTTTGGGTATGCCCAAGAGTGGCATAGCTAGATCTTGAGGTAGATGGATTCTCATCTTCCTGAGGAACCACCACACTGATTTCTATAGTGGATTTGTTTGTTTTTTTCTATAATTTCGTTAAATATACTTTCAGTATATTTTGACCTGAGTTTCTTCTTCCTTCTTCTATTCCTATTATTCTTAGATTTGATCTTGTCATAGTATCCCAGATTTCCTGATGTTTTGTACCTGTATTTTATTTTATTTTTGCATTCAGTGAAGAGATTTTTTTTAATTTTGGGGGGATTTTTTTTTTAGATTTAACATTTTCTTTGCAAGATAACAGTTTCTCCTATTGTGTCTTTGATGCCTAAGATTCTCTTTTCCATCTCTTATATTCTGTTAGTGAGGCTCTGATGTTCTTGTATGAGTTCCTAAATTTTTCATTTCCAGTTTTATTTTAGTTTGAGTTTTCTTTATTGATTCTATTTCCACTTTAAAGTCTTGAGCTGTTTTATTCATTTCCTTCTACTGTGTGTTTTGTGTTTCCATAAATTTCTTTAAGGGACTTATTCATTTACTCATTAAGGACCCCTATCATATTCATAAGGGCTATTTTAAGGTCTTAGTATTGTGTTCCAGGTATGTTGCATTTCTCAGGGCCTGCTGTAATAGAGTTTCCAGGCTCTAGTGAAGATATACAACCCTGGCTATTAATTGATTATATTTTTATGCTGGTGTCTATTGTAATTCTAGGCGCTGATATCTGGTCTTGTCTTTGTTGGGTGGGTGATCTGTTCCTTGGTTTCTGTTGCCTTTTCTGGTTCTTAGAAGGATGTGGTGGCTGTGTATTACCTGGTAGGGAATTCTTCTAGGATCCTGATAGGTGTGGCCACAGAGGCTCTGGGTAATATATGTTTCTGGGTTAGTCTTGGGTATTGAAGATGGGCTGGGGGGAGCCGAGGGAGTCTGCAGGAAGGAGGGTGCTCTATCAGAATCTGCTTAGTCCCCTGGGAATGGCAGCAGATAGTGAGAAGAGGCCACAACAGGTAGTCTGCTGCAGAGCTGGGGCTGAGACTGGGTTGGGTTCAGAGGAGAGTGAAGATCTGAAGCTCACCTACCTGCTTCACTGGCCTACTTGCTTCTCTGTCAGGCTTGGCTAATGCATTCCCAGGGAATAGGGAACTGGGATTAGGGGCTGGGATAACAAGATGAGTGCGGAGGAAGGTTGCAGAAGATCTGCATGACCTGCTGGAGATGTAGGCAGAGAGAAGGGAGAGGCTGCAGCAGGTGGTCCAGTACAGAGACAAGGGTTAGACTCTGGTATTGGATTTGGAGGAGAGGACAGAGAGGTGGAGATCTGCAGTTAGCCTACTCATTTCCCTCACCAGCATGGCTGACACGTTCCCAAGAAATCAACTTAAATGGAATGGAATGTTAGGGATGTTTCAATATATTTCAGAAATATATGTATACATTGCTGAGCATTGAACCATAAAATACTGATGTGTTACAGTGCTGTTCATGTCAAAATGTGTTTGGTATTATGTTGTAGAATATTATTTTAAGTCATGCTACTTTTGTTTACATTGCATTTGTTTAACTCTGTGAAGCTGTGTTACTGTGCCTGTGTAAAACACCTGATGGTCTAATAAAGAATTGAATGGCCAATGGCAAGGCAGGAGAAAGGATAGGTGGGGCTGGCAGACAGAGAGAATATATAGAAAAAGAAATCTGGGAGAAAAGAAGTAGCCAGAGAAGGAGGAGGACCCAGGGGCCAGTCACCCAGCTACACAGCCAGCCATGGAGTAAGAGCAATATTTACAGAAGTAAGAGAATAGAAAAAGCCCAGAGGCAGAAGGTAGACAGGATAAGTTAAGGAAAGTTGGCAAGAAACAAGCCAAGCTAAGGCCAGACATTTATAATTAAGAATAAGCCTCCATGTATAATTTATTTGGGAGCTAGGTGTCAGGCCCCCAAAAGAGCAAAAACAAACAACAGTACTATTGTAAGATTTTTTAAATTTTAACTATGTATATGTATGTGAGTATATACATGTCTGTGCAGGTGTCTAAGGAGGCCAGAGGAGTCAGAGGTCTCTAGAGCTGGAATTAGAGGCAGTTGTGCATAGCCTAGTGTGGGTACTAGGAACTTTGTCATTTACAAGGTGCTCCTGATTAAGAGCCCAAAGTGTGTCTGCTGTTAAAATAGAACAAGAGAAAATACACACTCTCCATGAAAAAGTCATGATTGCTCCTTCTGTTCTTCTTCAATGTGAGCAGCACTCCAAGTCTTTTTGTTGATTCTACTTCTGTCCAAGGCCTATGCTGTGTTCACAGCAGACTGTGTTGTCTCTGCCTGTAATGCTGAAGTAGCACTGGGACCTTCCCTGCCACCCTACCTGTCCTATTCTGCAACCACGGCCCCATAGCATTAGTAATTCATGTCTGATTACGTTAGCCCCTTGCTTAGAACACATCCATGCCTGCTGGTTGCTAAGAGGTTAAAGACCATTCCTCTGGCTTACTCTGGTATCTCTCTGTGTTCTGTCTCCTTCAGAGACACTGGTTATGATGATAGAACTGTTTCCTTGTTCCAAGCTTCCTGCTTTCAGTAGCTTTACTGAGGTATTATTGGAAACAATAAACCACACATATAGAAAGTATCCTATCTGGTAAGTGATGACATATGTTGAACACGTATTTAATTATATAACCAAGATGTTGACAACTCAAATGCCCATAAGCTTCTTTACTGTCCTTTATATTTCGGATTAAGGAACTGCCAAATTGGGGCTGGAAAGACAGCTCAGATGTTTAAGAGCATACACTGCTCTTGTAGAGGACCAAGTGTGGTTCCCAGCACCCACATTAGGAGGCTCACAACTACCTGTAACTCCAGCTCCAGGGGTCCAATGCCTTCTTCTGGCCTCTAAGGTCACTGCACTATTGTGCATGTACATACATATCCACACACTCATAAGCACACATGTATACACACATACACACATAACTAAAAGTAAAAATAGGTGACCCAAACACCATCTGGCATGGATGTATTTGCAGAGCCAGGAGGCTCACTGTTCTGCGGTGTCCCAGCAGGCAGACAGGGCTGTGAAGTACTACACCCCAGAAGAGATTCAGAAACACAAAGCCAGCAAGAACACAGGGGTAGCTCTATACCACAAGGTCTACAACTTAACCAAGTTTCTGGATCAAGTCCCAAGAGAGCAAGCAAGCCGGGGTGATGCTACCAAGAACTTTGAGTATGTTGGGCACTCTACTGATGCAGAACTGTTCAAAATGTACATCATGGGGAAGGGGCACTCCATCCAGATGGCCCAAGTTAGCCAAGCCTTCAGGAACTCTTATTACTACTGCCCAGTCTAATTCCATTTGGTGGACCAATGGGGTGATCCCATCCTCTCAGCTCTGATTGTGGCTCTGATAGATGGCCGCTACATAGCAGATTAACTGCCTCTCTGAAGCCAAGGAAGAAATGACTGCCCAGGACAAGGGAGGGAAAAGCCCGTGTCAATCACTTCCACTAACAGAAACCTTCCTCTGAGGAAGTAATTGTGACATCTGTTTCCTTTCCTTCCTATATTTTAGAGAAAAAAAACAAGGAACCCCTTCTGCCCTTGAACTTCTCAAATGTACCTTTCTATTTGGCTTCGTTGTGGTGTTTCTTCACTATGTGTACTTACTGTAAGCACAATCTCTTTTCAATATAGTTGGCTTTTAAAATACAAAAAAATTAAATAAAAATAAAATATTCCTTTTAAAAAGCAACTTCCAAATTGTTTTAAAAATATTTGTGCTGTTTTCCCCTTACAGCAACAGAATATGGCATTCACGTTCCTTCCTTTCTTCACACACAGTACTGGAGGGCTCCAGTGGGTGTCTGTTGTGTGTCTCAGAATGGCTGCAATGGCCGCCAGTGATGAGGATGCGTTGGTTCTCATCAGTGTATCTTCCTTGGGAATTTTCAGTCCAAGTCTTTGCTTTTAATTTTTTAAGTTAGGTTGTTTGTTGTTTGTTGAGCTTCATGAGTTTTTTGTTTCTACATTTTGGATACATTCCTTTTATCAGATACATTCTTTCTGCAAGCATGAGGACCTGAATTTTAATCCCTAACACCTACATAAGAATCCAGGCATGATTGCATATACTTTGAACACCAGATTTGCAAGATGGAGACAAGGTGGGTCCCAGGAGACTGCCAGCTTCAGGTCCAGTGAGGCAGGAACCAATAGAGGAAGGCATGTGTGGTGACTGGGATGAGAATGGCCCCCAGAGGTCCATCTATTTGAATACGGGGTCCCCAGCTGATACTGTTTGGGAAAGATTAGGAGGTACAGCCTTGTTAGAGGAGAGGTGTCATTAGGAGCAGGTTGGTCTACAGAGCGAGTTCCAGGAAAGGCCCAAAGCTTCACAGAGAAACCCTGTCTCGAAAAACCAAAAAATTAAAAATAATAATAATAACAAAAGAGTGAGAATAAAGAAGAGAAAGAGAGGGTTGTCATGAGCAGCCTTCAGACCACTTTCCTGAGCAAAATCTCAAGAAAAAAGGAAGGGTCAGACTTGTGTAATTCACAGGAGGAGGGATTGTTATGCCCAGAGTCCGGACCCCCAAAGACCACCAAGAGACCAAATCCAATGCAAAAGTAGAGTCTTTTATTGTTTTGAGTTAACTTGGGCCTCTCCACCCATCTGATGCAGCAGCAGAGCATAAGAGACCCCCAAGCAGCAATGGGGCAGGGTATTTACAGGGAGTAAAGCAAGGGAGGTCTTAGGGTCTACAGACTACATAGGAACAGACTCAGGATTGGTTTATGCAAGTGGCAATCATGTTAGTAATTTTTAATTGGCTAGGGTTAGTTGGGGATTACAGTTATCCATTTTTGGGCAGGCCTAGACAAGTCTTAAGCTTTGTCCTTGAGCTGCCATGGAGACTGGCTGGCCTAGCACTACTGACTGTGGGGGCTGGCTCAGTGACCCAGGCTTGGTGGGCCCTATCTCCCTGTCCCAGCTGGCAGGGGCATCAGTGATTAATTGTCCTTTGTTCATGGCCCTCCCAGAAACTGCTTGCTCTGTGTCAGGAAACTGAAATTGAGGCCTGATCTCTGAGAAAAAAAAAAAAAAAACTGAGCAGCCTGTTATGATCCTTTCAGGGATATCTGGCAGGAAGCTTCATGTCACATGATTTAGTTCAACATGACAAGGAGCATGGAAGAGACTAGAAACATGAATTAAGAGCCGTCAAGTCACTGCACAGACTGCTTAGTTCTATCCCAGAGAGAGCTGTGAGGATGCGCGACTCTGCGGGCTGTGGGATTTGGCTTGCTCTTTATTTGCCTGCTTGTTTTCTAAAGAGACAGAAAGATGGTGTGGAATTGGATAGGTGGGGAAGAGGAGAGGATCTGGGAGAAGATGGAGGAGGGGGAACCATGATCAGAATAGAGAGTATAAAAAAATCTATTTTCAATTTTTTTAAAAAGTGACCACTGTCTTACAGAGGCAGACCTGTGTTCTAACAGACAGCAAACAGAAAGTGGGGATGAGCCCTGGGAGCTGCATACGAGGAAAACTGGGAACAATGTAGCTAAAGAAGAGAAGAAGAAAACAGAGCCGGTGAGAGCCAGGTTAGATCCCCAAGGCCTGGAGTGGGAAGAGCCCTGCAGTTTGAGGTTGAGTGGTTTTGATGAAGACTTACTTTCTACTAGATGTTGGGGGAGGAGGATTCATGTAACTGCTGACTATGTAACCAACCCCTCTGGCATTTTGAATAGGAGAAAACTTCCTTGTCTTGTGAAGTGTGAAATCCTTGCAAAAAGCGTAACAGGCCATTGCCCCTACATATTTTTAATAGTTAGGTGCATATTGTTTCAAGTCACGATTTTAATGGCTCTATAGGAGCCTACTACATAGGAGTCTTGTTACTTATTCAGCAATAAGAATTTGGCAGGCCTTTTCATGTATTTTTTTTTTAAGGAATGATGTAAAAGAAACTCAAGGTAAGAGAATTGATAGTATAAAGGATTTGTTGATAAATTTGCTTAGGAGACATTTAAAAGGGAGAATTTAGCTAAGGGAGTACAGTCCCCCAAAATACCCCAAAGATAATTAGTCTGCTAACCAGTCCTGTTAGAGATAAACAAAATCTCCAATGTTTGGGTGTAAATGTTTGTTCATGAGGATTGACCAGCCATTGGGCCCATCCCCTATGAACATGCCCAAGGGTGTGCAGGGTCACAACTATCATCAAGTTCTTTGTTCTTAATCTGTACTAAATAAAGTAGATGATTGATTAATTTATTCAATATCTCTCTCTCATTGATAAAATAAATTCAACTTATTTGTTGAAAAAACAGGGTACTTTTTATTATTGAATCAATTGATCTTGTATTGATTTTTAAATTACTTATCAAAATAATAATAAGATGAATTGAAGGCATTAGTAAAAGTTAAAATAGACTCCCTAGTCTTGTCTTGAATTCTAGTAATATGCATATGCTCATTGTTTGAAAGCTTTGAGGGGTACATGTAATGTTTTATAAAAATAAATTTTTATTTCTAATTAACTCACATACTTGTTTGCAAGCAATAACTTTTAGGAATTAATTTTCCATTACTTGTTTTTATTAGGGGGCTATGTAGAAAATTATGCCAAATTATGTGTAAACAATCATTTTCAATGTGTCAAATTGCTGAATAGTTTCAAGATGGCCTTTCCAAAATAACTACCAAAGTTTCGCTTAACAGAAACTTATCGTCAAGAAAACATCTCTTCATTATTACCTTCCCAATATATATGATCTCTGGAAAAGATTAAAGTGAGAAATTGAAATCATGAGATCTAGAAAAAGTATTGAAACCTAGACATTAGGATAATAAGTCAGGATGTTGACTTGTTAGGGTAATGAAAAGCAAGGTCGAGCAGTGGGCATTTTCTTTTCAAAAGAATGGATTTTAAGTTAAGTATATTTAACCACAGAGTTTCAGTCAAGCGAAAAGAGAAGAAAGAGCATGAAAGTGTGAAGACACAGATGCCAGGAAAAGACAGGCTTTATAGTGGAGATACTGAAAACCAACAATATGACATGGCTCTGAGGATCCTGCACACGAAAGCAAAACAGACTTTGAATCAGGTAATAAATTGCTTACTAGGAATTATCTTTAATGTGTGTGACTTTATTTCATCAATATCAGCTATAATAAATCTGATTAATATGTATATGTGTATGTATATCATTAGGCAGTATAACCTGCATGGCTGTTGTGTGTATGGTCCATTGCTGACCAAAACATCGTCATGAGGTCCATGGCCCTATTATGGAAGTGTTTAACAAAATGTTATTTCAGTGTCTGGATGGATGGCTGAGTGATTAAGAGCATACTGTTCTTCCAAAGGTCCCGAGTTCAGTTCCTGGCACTCACATTGGCTGTTTTAAAACCCCCTTAAACTCCAGCTCCAGGGCATCTGATACCCTCTTCTTGCCTCTAGGGACACCCTACACATGCATGTATACACACACAGGCACATAAAGGAAATGTCACCTCACCCTAAAACGAAATAATGGCATTTATAGTAAATAGCTACAGTAAATCTGGGAGGAATTAATGAGGAGTTTTATGATTGAACTGTCATACATGTTAATTGGGCCATTTTTTATGTCAAAACACAGCCTCATTAGCTTTACAACTATAAAGAAACTTGTCTTGTGTTTCATAAAGAAATTCACTTCACAGTAGTGTCTATGCCTGTGTGAAGAAACTATTTTTGCTCTGTGACAAGGTTCCTATGTCTTACACAGTTAGATTATGGTTTGTTCACGTGGACTGATGGTCCCTGAGCATTAACCAGCTACTTTCTTTGGATAGATTTTTGAAAGTTCTACATTTTATTAAGCTTTTAGGCTTTTTGCCACCAATGATGTGGGATTAAACCTTCGTGAAGCATACATTTAAACTATGAGGAAGAAAACAGTACCAACTGGCAGCTTTTAGAAAACCAAATGCCAGACTCTTACAAGGTTGCATTTTGCAAAATCACCATGGCAAACAGAAGATGTTAAATGCACAAAAGAAAACCAGAGCACAGACAGTTTTCATCAGTCATTTTCAGATCACTAATGTTTTGTTATGTGAATGTGCATGTTTTAGAAAGGAAACTATGTGCATGGTACAAAATACAGAGAATTTTCAGATTTTATTTTTATTTTATTTGTATGAGTGTTTTTACTTGCATGTATATGTGTACTACATGCATGCTTGGTGCCCACAGAGGCCATAAGAGGGTCTTGAATCCTGTTGCTATTACATATGGTTGTGAGCCACTATGTGGGGTGCTGGGAACCAAACTTAGGTGTGGGAGTCCAGCTCCAACCTGCTCTACCTATCAAGGGTTCTTGGGTGTAGAAGAGAGGAATGAGGAAATATTAGGTAGAAAGATAGACCTAGACAAGGAGGAGAAAGACAGAGACACAGGACAGCTTTGAGAGGGCCTAGGTCAATACCCAACAGCCTTGAAGTTTATTCAGAAGGGCTTTTTATAATATGCCTAAGGGAGAGGCAAAAGACCTCCCCTTTGCAAGATCAAAGCACACCATACAGCCAAGTGTAGACCCTTCCAAACACCTGGTAACCATGCCCGTGGTCAAGTCATCTCGTTATGCAGCCCGGCTGGGTAAAGCAAGCTCAGATTCTCTGACCCTGAGTAAGTTCTCTCTAGAAAGCCTCTGTGGGTCTCCACACTTAGGTCCTCTGAAAGAGCAGCAAGTACTCTTAACCACTGAGCCATCTCTCCAACCATCTGTAGGCATACATAATGTATTTGGGGATGATAGAGGCATGTTTTTCCCATTGAACAAGCTGGTATTCTTCATTGCTCCATCTGCAGCAGTTGGATAGTAACATTCGTGATAGCCTCACCCACGCAAAGCTTGACTGTTTCTCACAGGAGCTGATTTCCAGTGATCACAAACCCCTTGCCACCAATGATGGGTTTTCTAGTTTGTGACAGTGATTCCATGCCCTTGATATGTTCATCTGGAAGGGTGCTTCCTACTTTGCTACAGCAACTACTAAGGAAAGGGAACACATGCAGCCAGCGGATACCATGTTTTCATCTCATCAGTTCCTTTACAGAGAAATAATCCCTATGTGAAAACATGAGTTTCTGAAAACAACAGTGCATCAGATTCACATGCAGTCACATGCTCCACGATGAAGACATTCCAATCCCAGAGTTCTGTGTCCACTTGCACTGAAAGGCTACCACATCTTTCAGAAAATGCAGCTGGGACTGGAGAGATGGTTCAGTGGTTAAGAACACTTGCTGTTCTTACAGAGGACCCAAGTTCATCTGGGCATGGTAGCACACACCTTTAACCCAGCACTCTGGAGGGAGAGGCAGATGAATCTCTGAGTTCGAGGCCATTGGTCTATAAAGTGAGTTCCAGGACAGCCAGGGCTACACAGACAAACTCTGCCTCAAATTAAAAAAAGAAACAGAGAGAGAGAAGAAGAAAGAGAAAAGAAACAGGAAAAGACAACCCAGCTTTAACTTCCAGCACTACAGATGGGTGGCTCACAACTGTCTCTAACTCGTTCCAGGATATCCAGTGCCCTCTTCGGGCCTCCATGGACACCAGGCACAGATATACATGCAGAAAAAACATCTACATTTTATTTTGCAGTTGTAAATATTTGAAGTCAGACAGTTTTCTTCCATTTTAGACCCAGTGTAAAAGCATAGAAATAGATTACATATATATTATGTACCCAAAAATAGAGAAGAAAGTTTTTTCGTTCCTGTTCCTTTCTTTGTGGAGACACCATACAGTTTACGGGAAACATTTGAAGGGCAAATTCAGGGTCTCTTAGTATATTCACAGGGTCATGTAATGGTCACGCTATCAATTTCAGAATATTTCATCACCGTAAAGAATAACTTCAAAGCCCTTACTTGTCATGCTCTCCCTGGGTCCTCCCTCTTTCCCAGCCCTTCCCACCGGCCTAAATTGTTTCCTTTATAATTTCCCCATTCTTCTAGAAGTTTCCTATAAATATTCAGTCTTTCTTGATGGGTTTCTAACACATGGTGTTGGACCAAAACTCCATTTCTTTCTATTGTTGAGCAGTATTCTATTGTGTGGCTGTCCCACAAACTCACTCGCCAGCTGAAGGGTCTCCATGCCACTGGCCCTTCTTGCCTTTATTTGTAATGCCAAAATGGTTTTGTGGACATGTTTTTATTTCTTTGCTATGGATTTTATCCTTTGAGTTGAGTGTGCTGATTTTATGGTCGCTTGCTTTTAATCACGATTCTTCACGTCCCACACTTTATGCATTTGTTGTCATTTATTCAGAATTCGCTCGCAATTTACCATTGCATGAAGACTCTTCCAACTCCCTCTACCTTGTGTGTACAGAACAATTAAGTCATTAATTTTGTATGCTTTCTTCATGTGGTTTTACTTCACTTTGTTTTATGCCTTAATCTTGTCAACCTATAAAACTGCCTAAAGAGGAAATAATGTTTGCTAAGGGTGCCACTTTTCCTTGTAAACACTAAAATGTCTTTGCTGAACAGTTGGTAGAGCTTAGTGGGCACTTGCCTAGCGTGTGAGGCCCTGGATTCCAACCCTAGTGCTGAAAAGACAAAGCAAAGCAAACAAAACAGCATTTTGTTTTTAACATTTGTTAGAATAAAATTAAGTACTTCATACAATACTCATAATTTCTGGTATCGACATAAGAAGAGTTTTCATCTACATCTATGTTTAAGACTTAAATATAAAGCTTCATCTACTTACTGGAGGATTATTTACCAAATGTTCATATTTTTCTCACAATGGAAAAAGTGAGATTCACCTTCCTTTATAATGGAGGCTGACCTGTGATTTAGATTTGTAGTGATTCATCAACAGAGAGGCCCTCACCAAAGCTCTTCTGATGTGCCATGTTACCCCTAGTAACCACCATCCATCCGCTCATCAGAGTGCTGGCTGACACAGACAAAGTGAATCTTTATTCACAGTTAAGCCCTATGCCTCTGACAGTCACCTCATCTGCAGCTACCTCACCCCAGAGGTACAGTTTGCCTACTGTGAGACCCCCCAACAGGGAAGTTAGTAGGCATGGAAACGAATTAGGTGGCCAGTGCAATTACAAAGGTTTCGTGACTTCCTGGGGGGTGGGGGGTGTCTAGGGCTTCCCTTTTGCTGTCGCCTTCACTGACTTGAAAGAGATTCCATGCAGCTGGCGTGGAAGGCTTCTGTGAACTCGACACCTGCCTAAAGGACAGGGGGTGTGAGAACAGCACGGTGATGATGCCAACAGCAAATGCTATCTTTGGCTCCCTATGTCTTTCAAACTCTTCTAATTACTTGATGCATATTTTCTAATCTTACCCTCCATAAAGCCCAGAGTTAGATGTTGTAAACACCTCTCTCTTACTGATGAGATAGCCAAGGCACAGAAGGCAATAGCTATTCTAAGACAATAGCTATTTGCAACAGGAGCTGGGCTTCACCCACAGGCATCCTGGCACCTCACTCAGAAAGCTCTCACACTTCCCCTTAACATCCAGTTCTACCGTAGAGGATGCGTTACTTTGTAATCATTGCTTGCATAACTCTAGATATTCGCCTGAATGAATTGTTAAAATTATAACGGAGGTGGTACTTTGAACATGTAAAAACTCACCATAATAGGATTTCAACTTTTTTTTCATTTACCAATTTTGTCCATTTGAGTATCTGAGGAAATATGATTTCAAAACAAGAAGACTATATTTTAGTCCGTCGTAAGACAGGTCAATGACTCAGATCATAGTATTTTAGATTTGGTGGGGATAAGATCCCTTTTGCAATAACTCAGTGAACTCCACAGTGATAGCACAAAAGTTCCCCTCAGTATGCAGATAAAGGGTTGATGGCTGTATACCCATGAGATTCTAGCATGAGGGAGCTGGAGAGATGGTCCCACAGTTAAGAGCACCTGCTTCTCTTGAAGAGGATTCGGGTTCCATTCCCAGCATCCACATAGGGTAGCTCACACTGTCTGTAACTACCTCTAGCTCCAGGGGATCTTGTGCCCACTTTTGGCTTCTACAGGCATCTTCATGCATGTGGTGCATCTATACATATTGAAGCACACATACACATACACACACACATATACATACATACACATACACACACACATACATACATACATATAAAATAAGTATTTTTAAAGTAATTTTAGTGTGAAAACGTGATGGGAAGGTTTGTACTAGAATATTAGTGAAATTTTCTTTTTGATTCTTCGTTTTAGTTGCAAGAGGCACAGGATCGACAAAGAGAAGTTGTACAGAGTTCTCAGAAGATGCAGGATCACTTGCAGAAGTATAATTTAAAGGAGCATACAAAATAACCTGAGTATTTACAAAGCAAATTATCAGTGTAGTGTGAAAATCCTATCAGTTACAATGAGTATAGCTCTGCGGGGATCAAGAGATATTTAAGCTTATGTTCCTTAGGTCTGGGAACACAGCTCAATGGGATGAATAGAACATGCTTTGTATGCCCACAACCCTGAGTTCAGTCCCCACACTGTAAAGGAAAAATGCTGCATGATATTTGTTCATTTTTCCTAAAACTTGCACATTCTCTATAAAACACAGCTAGAAGCCGGGCGGTGGTGGCACACGCCTTTAATCCCAGCACTCGGGAGGCAGAGCCAGGCAGATCTCTGTGAGTTCGAGGCCAGCCTGGGCTACAAAGCGAGTTCCAGGAAAGGCACAAAGCTACACAGAGAAACCCTGTCTCGAAAAACAAAACAAAACAAAACAAAACAAAACAAAAACACACACACACACACACACACACACACACAGCTAGAAGATGAAACACTATCTACTTTTCAATTTTTTAAGAAGCAAGTCCTTTGTCATTATACAATGTTATCAAAAATTCATCTGTAAGAATAATTGTTTATAAAATACATTTTAGGCTTCAAGCTGAGTGTTCTGAGGCAGAAGTCATAGTACAAGAGCAAGGAGAGAAAATTGCAGAGCTTCAGAAGCTACGTGCAGGTTTGGTGAGTCAGCTTCTTGCTCACCTCTGTCTCATGTTTTCCTTTCCCAATAGGAACACTGCAGGAAACGAGAAGAGTGCCACTGATACAAATATTTAATCTATCCTGATGCCACTTCCTGCTGGTAGTGAAAACCCTTATTGCCTTAAAGGAGGTCTGACTGAATTCATAAGATAGTGATTTGGGTGACCTGCCTTAATGCATATTATTCTTGATAATGTTTTTGTTTGGTTTTTGAGACAGGGTTTCTCTGTGTAGCCCTGGCTGTCCTGGAACTTTCTCTGTAGACCAGGCTGAACTCAAACTCAGAGATCCGCCTGCCTCTGCCTCCCGACTGCTGGGATTAAAGGCGTGTGCCACCACCACCACCACCACCACCACCACCACCACCACCACCACCACCACCACCACCACCACCACCACCACCCAGCAGTAAATAATATTTTTAAGAAAAAAATAGTTTATACCAAGATTTTTAAAATAATTTTTATAATTTTTTCAAAGACTAGAGACAAAGAGGAACAGCTAAAGGAACTCAGAAAAATTATACCATCTCTGAAGTGTTCTTTGGACCAAAAGAAGAATAAAAATGAAGAGTTAGAGAGGGAGTTCACTGAGTAAGATTTTAATATTTCAGATCTCTTCATTCACAGACGCATTTAACTGATTTCATTAACGCCTAAATGTGAATTCATTTTCTAACTGTTTTAACAACCAGAACTCACCACTCAATCTGAAAATTTGGATGCTAAAATATATTTACTCTCTAATGATCCTGAAAACAATAATGGTGATGCCTTTGGCATGACTCTGTGCATTTCTTCATCTACCTTGAATTTTTCTTTCTTTCTTTCTTTCTTTCTTTCTTTCTTTCTTTCTTTCTTTCTTTCTTTCTTTCTTTCTTTCTTTCTTTCTTCTTACTTCCTTTCTTTCTTTCCTTCTTTTTTTCATTCTCTAAGACTTCCTAATTGTTTTGATATTCACCCTCCCTCCTCCCCCCAGATCCATTCTCCCCTTTCCCACCCACCCAGCTTTGTAGCTTCCCTTTTCACCCATCCACCCTGATTCGTGCCGCCCATATATTTTTGAATGTGTGCCCTCCCACTGGTGCGTGGTTGACTTCCAGGGTCCACACTCTTAAAGACAGTGGACTCTTGTCTCCCAACAGCTATTAATTGCCCCTCTCCAGAGAGGGGTGGCTTCATGTCCACCTCCCCTTTCCTTGCTGAGACAGGTTTGGCTTGAGCTTACACAGGGCTTGTAATGCTGTCAAAAATCACTGAGTTCATTACGTGCAGCTGCCCTGGTGCGCCGACATGGTCACTGTTTCACTCTAGTCATCCACTGCCTCTGGCTCTGATAGTCTTTCTGTGCCTTCTTCCACAGTGATCCCTGAGCCTTGGGAGGAGGGGGTAAGGATAGTTTTCTTTCTTTTCTTCTTCTGGTAGCATCCTTCATTCATCATTCAAACCTTTTCCTATCTAAAACACTGCTATCAAAATTACCTTGACATGGTTTTTATTTTCTTTTTGCGTTTCTTTTTTCAATTATGATATCATGCAGATATATTCCTTTTCCATGGGTGTCACCCATTTGTACATGAGGTATACACATTGCTAAATTTGTTTGATACATATGTGTATCCACATATATAGATATCTGTATGTATCTGTATATACACACATACAACTAAAATATAGTCACCCCTGGTATCTGCAGAAGTTTGGTTTTAGAACCCTCCACAAATACCAAAGTCTACAGATAGATAGTCAACTCTTGTATGTAAAATGGTGTATATTTGCATATAGCTCATACATATCCACATTTTTCTTTACCTTGAGTAATGATCTATGGGTTATTCCTAATTGTTAGTAATTAGTTAATGTTTTGTACTATAATACTAAAGTAGATATTAATAGTTAAAACAATTCAGTATATGGTTACAGTTTTTATTCTTTTTTTTCTTTTCTTTTCTTTTTTTTTTGTTTTGTTTTTTTTTTTTGAGACAAGATTTCTGTAGACTAGCCTCGAACTCACGGAGATCCACCTGCCTCTGCCTTCCAAATGTTGGGATTAAATGCATGTGCCACCACTGCCCGGCACCAGTTTTTATTCTTTATCTGCCATAAATAACATAAGAATTTTCTTCATATTATTTATATAAGATTATAATTTCATAGAATACTTTCAATAATTTTAAGTTGAAACAAATGAGAGGTCATAATGTGTAGGTTCATTTTAAAAGAAATAATGTATGTAAAAACATTATAGAACATACAATTCATTTGAAAAATTGTTAAGCATTTACTACTTAAAAAACTCCCTATACTGACTCTGTACACTTTTGCAGAATAAAGAAACACTTAGGAGTAATGAGAAAGAAACTGAATGGTCATGAAAATGGAGAATTTAGTTGCCAGGGAGATTTAAAAACTAAAGAACTGGAAGTGAACGCTTCAGTGGATATGTTAAAAAATGAGGTAATTTTAACTGAACAAAATGTAAGTGTAAGTCCTCAAATGTTGACGCTTGGTGTTAATGAAAATTAATTATTTCCCATTGAAAGGGTGTTCTGTTGAACTCAAGCTGGTATGTAAAGCCAAGCAGTACACACGCTCACAAACCACTAAATCATGAATAGCATCCATTTTATGTGGATTCGGTGTTCTATGTTGCGTGGGACGATCCAAGAAAGAAGGTCACTCCGAGATGTAATTCGGCCTCTGTGGCAGCAGGGAGGAAGAGTTCGAGGAGCTGAACCTCAAACAGCCATACACAGCGAATTTGATGGTTGTTACACAGAGTTGTTTGGGGGGTAAAACAAGTTCCTCATACCAAAGCCCCTGATCTAATCTCTGTGTTTTGTGATGAAAACATCACACACCCCTGCAACCTTAGTCGGTACTGGGTACTGCAGGACCCGAGAATGCAAGACACTCCAGATGTGCCAGGATTGTCATGTGACTAAAGTCATGCAAAGGCTGTAAAACTCCTTCAGAAAAGCAGCTCTACAAATCACAGAAAACAGTCACTGTTTTCCACAATGATTTTTTTTCAAGGTCTAAGTACTTTTAGAAAACAGCGATTTCATTCTAATGTTTACCCTAGAGACAATGATCCTACTCATTTTTCCTCTACATTTGGTAGCTGTTTTATTGGGATATAACTAACATGCATATGTGCCCAGTCATTTAACAGATGCATGGCAGAGGGATTTGATACAGTAGCAGTGGTTTACAAGCATGACCTCACTGCTCTCAGTACGCTATGAAGGAATCACCCCCTTTTCCTGATCAGCTGTAGGGAACTCTCTTCCCATCACGTTGCCTATTGGGAATATGTCACATGATTGGATCACAAGGTGATCTAGGTTCTTCCCCCCCCCCCCACCAGACGGTTTTTCTGTGCAGTTTTGGTGCCTGTCCTCGATCTCGCTCTGTAAACCAGGCTAGCCTCGAACTCACAGAGATCTGCCTGGCTCTGCCTCCCGAGTGCTGGGATTAAAGGCGTGTGCCACCACCGCCCAGCCTAGGTTCTTTTTCCTTAGGAGTCAATAGCTTAGTCATATGATAACTCTGCTCAATCTTCTGAGGTATCAATATTTCTTAAGGTGACAGCATTGAATAGGAGTCACGGTTTCTCCATATCCTTACCCATGCTCTTGTTCACCAATTCAAGTGAAAAAGTTCCCATCCTCGTGACATGAAATGCACATTGTGGAGGTTTTGTTTACACTTACCTATTTACTAAGGGAACAGTATGAATACATGCCTTTTTATGTGCTTATTAGTGGTTTGTGTACTTCTTTGCAGAAATGCCTATTTCAATTCTCTGATATAGGAGAAACTGGGAATAGTAAACTGGTGTTATAAAGGACCTACCAAACTCCTTAGGAAATACTAAGTTACACAAAGTAGGGTTTAGCTAAAGTAGCACCCCTGGTCCTCTTCTCAGGAAGAGGATAATTCTGCCCAGCAAACAGGACAATCCTGGCTGACAACTGCCTGGGAGAAGCAGCCCTGGTCTCTCTCAGGATGACTGTGACAGTATATTTTACATTGTAAATCTCCCAATTTGTCCAGACAACCAAACCTTAGAATTTCTGTCACTTTGTAACATGTTTTGTTGCTCAAAGTGTAACCCGGAGCTATAAAACTATATAAGCTAAGAGAGTTTCTGTTCAGGGCTAGTTCCCTTTTGTGCATTAGCCAGAACCAGTAGTGAACTAATATTAAAGAACTTTTCCTTTATTAATGTCTAAGTATTGGAGTGGCTTCTCACTAGGAAGACAAGATCATTCTATAACATCTCCAGTTTTAAAATGTGTTATCTTTTATTTGTAGGAGTCCTTTATCCTATATGAATCCCTTATCAAGGGTATGATTTTTAAGTACTTGCTTAAGAATTACTATGGTCACTACGTATAAATGACAGCCCCTCATCTGACATACCTCATCTGTGCTCCCAACTACCATTTCCCATTAAACTCTGACATGTAATTTAGTGTTTCTAAACATGTTTCTCACAAACAGGAGCACAGATTCCTTTCTTTAAGACATTTGTGTTGGGTTTTCTGAATACAGGTCTCATCTTTTAGAAGGAAAGAAGTACAGATTATTTTATTTTATGTGTATGGGGATTTTGCCAACATGTATGTCTGTGCACCACTTGTGTGCCTGGTGATTTTGGAAACCAGGAGAGGGTATTGGATCCCCCAGAACTGGAGTTACAGATAGTGGTGAGTCAGCATAACAGTGCTGGAAACTGAATTCTAATTGAACCTCTTTACTAAGAATGAATTTTATAAAGGAAATAAATAAAACAAATCAGAAAAAAAAAAGCTTGAGGTCCAGTGCAGAGCAGAGATCTTCTGACAAAGACGAGTATTTTTTGTGAAAGGCATCATGGAGGAGGGAAGTGAACACAAAGATTCACTCCTACCTGAGACACCACTGGCATTTACTAGCTGCTGGGAGAGAGGGAGTCAATTTTATGTGCATGAATGTTTTACCTTAATGTATGTGCACCACATGCATGCCTGGTGCCTACACAGGTCAGAGGTCATCAGATCCCCTGGAACTGGAATTATAGATGATTGTGAGTCAACAGGTAGGTGCTGGGAACCAAACTCAGGTCCTCTGTGAAAGCAGCAAGTTCCCTTAAGCACTGAACTGCCTGTCCATCCTTGGAGTCAGTTTTCTTTGATGGTGTGACCCCTGACATATTGACTGTGCCCCGGAGCAGGACCCACACTCAAGAGAAGTTGGCCAACACAAACTAGACTCAATGGATTTAAGAAAGAGAGAGAGAGAGAACACCAAGTTGGCTGGGTAGGAAGGTGAGGGTGGATCTGGGAAGAACTGAGGAGGAGTATGTATCCTCAAAATACATTGTATGAAATTCTCAAAGAATTATTAAAAATATTATTTTTTAAAAGTATACTTTGGTGATTCTTTTAGCTTTCATTCTGTTGACTTTGTTCAAACTTCAATGGATTATATTCTGATTCTGCTATTAATTATAATGTATTGCAACTGAATTTATATCAAAATTTGCTGTCATTTTTCTATTAGACTTTTCCAACCTGAATCCTTTTTTACTCATCTGTGGGACTTTATTTATTCATGTAGATCCATGAATTGAAAGAAAAATGGGAAATTATAAATGCCAAATATCTACCTCTGAATGTACAGTTTAAATGCATCGAGCAGGAGTTGTTATCAATAAAAATAGCACAAAAGCAATACAAAAAGCTCCACAAGGACCAGAAGATTCTAGAACAAGATGCACTAAACCTGCAACACCAGCTTCGAGAGAACATGGTAGGTCAGTGTGAGTAGAAATGGTGTCAGTGAGGGGCTGAAGAGAGAGGAAGTCATCATTGAGGAGACCCATGAGACAGCCAACCACTTTTACAGCATAACTGATGAGTGTGTCCTCTGTGTGTCTTGTAACAGCTAGTATTGGAGATTTCTAGAAGGCAGGTGACATCTGTTAACCCCTTTAATTATTCTAGCTTCCATCATTAAAATACAATTGATCTTTCAGAATTGTCCTTTTCAACTTTTTAGACAATTTAGCATAAAGCAAGACCCCTGGCAGGAAGAAGGAAAACTTGGATATAGAACTTTCATCATGCTTCTGAATTGTTTTTAAGTTATGCTGCTCAGGGTTTTTTGAAATTTGAGTCAACTCTATTCTGTGAACTGTCTGATTCCATAAGGGTGAGCATGAGAATAATTCAGAACCAAGACTTGTGGCTCGGAAGCAACAGAAAGCTCCAGCCCAACCAAACAAGGTTCAGCGTCGTTTGATGGTGGGATTTAATTGAGTTGGTATTGATATTTTAAACCCTAGCATCTTATTTCACTTATTTAAAATTACTCTGGGAATCAATCCCTCAAAACTAAAGCAAGTACAACAAGTATTTTGAGTGTTTAGTGTGATGATTTTAAAAGTATATCCTTTTAATTTTCCATAGGCAAAATTAGAAGATGAAAAACATGCAATGGCCTTAAGAGAAAGTAATTATGATTCACTAATGAGCCAAATGGAACTCAGGCTTAAAAATCTTGAATCAGAGCTTGAGAAAATGGGAGCTGAAGGAGAGTCCAATGCAAGGAAGGTAGAGGAATACAAGCAGCGCTGTGCCCGAGAGCGGGAGCTCAGCAGGACACTAGCACAGAAGCTCCACAAGTAAGCCGGGAAAGAGACTCGCTGGCCCTAGTGTGTCAGTTCACCAGAGCAGATTCGTAAGACTAAGTAGGATGTGTGAGCAAGCTATGAATTATAACTGGGAAATAATGTCAGGGAATGAACCTACAGTGTGGCTGCAGAACACTTCCCCCCCTTTTTAATTTTTAGTTTTTTGTGTTGTTCCCTCTCTCAAATAGAAACATTAACAATTAACTACTTTTTTAGAAACATGCCCAAAGGGACCCGCAGTAATAACATTGCCCCTCCAGGCACATTCTGGCTCTTGGGGAGATAACTGTCTACCACTAAGTCCATTGTCTCTGGTGTCACCATTAGAGCTACCTAGTGACAAACTTTACAGTTGTTCTGCTGTACATTAAGGCAGACTTGAGTCCTAAGGGTAGGTTAACCCAGTGATGAACAAAATACCATTCACATGGAGTTAAACATAATCCCTGGGCCAATGTTGGTGTGTGTGTGTGTGTGTGTGTGTGTGTGTGTGTGTGTGTGTGTGTGTGTGTGGACTGTCACCATCGCAGCTGCACTGACTTCATCTTGCACGCTAACTGCTCCAGGAACCGCCCATTTTGTTTTTAAATCCTCTGGAAAACCATCTTCTGTCCCAGAGGCTGTTCCTTTGAATTTCCCTCTGTATCAAATGCTTAATGTGCCCCAAGTTATGGGTGGATTGTAGATAAGGAAAGCAAAAACATAAAATCTTTTCTTCCAACAGCTCTGGAAACTGAAGCTGCTTTACTGCATACAACTATTTCTAGTTAGTTTGTGAATTTTGTTTTTTAATTGTGTACATTTGCTGTGGATCACCACACAACAGTTTGCTGTGGTTTCCTGGGGTGCAATGGTTATTATAGTCAATGAAGGAGATACACACCCCCAACAGTGCAGGCTTCCTTCTGGACCCCAGATTAGGCACAAACCACACCCGAACACCTGTTTTCACAGAGAGATCATTTATTAAGTGGGAAAGAAAAATTAAAGTGGCTGCTTTCTGACTCAGGCAGAAAACAGCAGCAAATGACCTTGCAGGTGTAATTTTTAAGAGGAAGAAAAGGGGAGGTCTGTGTTAGAATGGGCTAGGATTTGATTGGGCATGTTAATTGGGTGAACCAAAGGGGGCTTTTGACTGCTGGACTGTGGTACTTATCCTCAGGAATGAGACTGGCATAAAGTACCCAAATAAGGGAACAGGCCTTGATGGCTTAGCTTTAGGCATGTAGTCTAATGGTTTTTAGCAAGGCAGAGGGAATGGGGGAGGGGAAGAAGGGCAAGGCCTGGCAGAGTCACATATTCAAGTGCGCCAGGGTCTCTTCAGTAAAGACTATGAGCATAGCATCATCTCATCATTGGCAGGTGTTCATCTCTCTCCTACTCTGAATTTACTTCTTAACTTAGAAGTAGATGTACTTCTTTAGAAGGAATTTAAGTGCCGAAGGTGTGCTCCAAGATGTTTTCAGCTTTAAGACATTAGCAAGAGGAAATATGAGGTGCTTTCTGAAGAGCACGACTCATTTGGGGAGTAAGAGCCCTACTGTGTTTGCCCCTCTGCAACCTTCACAGGACGAACAGCAAACTGAGTAAAGTCAGAGCCGACATTCTGCTGGTGACAGAAGAGAACAGAACTTTACAGAGAGCTCTTAGTACACGGCCTGTCCCCAAATGTCCTGGTGTCACAAAGCATAGTACTTGTATAAAATGCAACCCTAGCTTCATTACAAGCAGAAACCCAGAGCCTTCAATATCCAGCCTTCAGCTTTCTGAGCCTATGCAGGGGAGTCTGCTCAAGGTAAGTTGTATTCTCTTCTGTTCTTTGGCATCCCAACTCTGTTATCTGATAGTAACGTTAATTCTTTTCATTTGACAAGATATTAAACTGTTTAGTTGACTTATGCATGTTCAGTAAAGGTCCCAGTAGTCAGTGTTCTCTAAGAAGAAAATAAAAATTTCATAAAAATGAAAATTTATTTTCATTTTTATGTATCTGAGCTTAAGTATCTGGGTAGCTCTTTGCCAGTCCCGGGCCTGGGGGAAATGGTTAACAGCAGGAGGTTCTTGGAACTGCCTACAGAGGATGGCCCTTTGCTGCCACAGCCTAATACAGCAGGCAGGGGTGGGAAAGCAGGTGGATTTGACCAACTGTATGAGATCTCTTTGGGGCTGGATGTCCTGCCCAATGCTGAAGTTCTTAGACCTTTTCTCAAACAAAGGATTCACCACTTTTTTGACCTCCTGCTTCTTCACGACAGCAGGGTCCAGGCCATGTTCTTCCCTTTGGCCTTCTTTCTTTGGGTATCTTGCTCTGCTGGAGGAGAGAGAAAAGGGAATTGTGGATAATACATAAGTGGTTGCGGAGATCCTAAAGTATTACACAATTCCAATGTAGTTTTTAAGGGTTCCTGTCCCCCACATCCTCACCAACATGTCCCGTTTTGGTGTGTCTGAATGGGTTTGCAGTGTCCTTCTAATTTTTATTTCCTCGATTGCTGAAGATATTGGACATGCTCCAGGTATTAATTAGACATTTCTGCATGTTTATTTGAAAGTGTCTAACCACTCCCTATATTTGCTGGTTTATTTGTTCTTTTGATATTTATTTTTAGTTCTTTATTATGCTAAGTATCAGCTTCTTGTTAGATGAAGAAGTGATGAAGGTTTTCCCCTTTCAATGATCTGCCTCTCTTGATACTTAATTTTTCCTGTTGGTGTGCCTAAGAGTTCTTTCTCTTTTTCTACGATACCAGGAAAGCATTCTACTTCTGAGCCACATTCTTAGCCCTACGTTTTTAATTTTATGTAGCCATTTGTCCATTTTTGTGATTATTTCCTGAGCTGTTGGAATCCTATTTGGAAGTCATTGCCTGTCACTCTGTCCTTAACTGTTCCCCTAAGTTCTCTCCTAATAGTCTCAAAGTACAGCTCTTACATCATCGTATTTGGCCCATTTTAATTAATTTATTTTTTGAAGTTTTCATACAAGTATATATTATACATTTAACATAGTCCCGTTTCCTGCCTTCATTCTCTTCCCCTCCCCTCAGTTTTACTTCTACTTTCATGTCATGTAAACGTGACTTTATGTAGCTAAAATTAAGGGACCAAAATAAAATGAAATCTGGGATCCACAAGTGAAAGAAAGCATATGACACTTGTCCTTTTGAGAATGGCTGTTTAACCCATTATATGTGTGTATGCCTATATGCATAATATTATTTATACATGCATACACACACACATATATATGAGAGAGAGAGATCTAGTGTTGCTCTTTTGGTTCAAATACTGGATTTTTAATGCAGTTCACCTAAGGCTCTCCACTCTGCCTTCCCTGAAACAAAAGAATAAGGTGGCAGCAATAGACAGTCTTTAAATAGCAACTGCCATCACATAGAATAAATTCTATCAGACTCTTCTGTAAAGCTGCATGTAATCCCCATCTCCCCTGGAGATGCATGACGGTTAGTATTTGGTCAACTTAACACAAGCTAGGGTCATCTGGGAAGAGGAACCTTAATTGAGAAAATACCTGCATCAGATTGCCTGTAGGCAAGTCCACAGGGTATTGTCTTGTCTTGATTAATGATTGATGTAGGAGGTCCCATCCACTGTGGGTAGTGCCACCCCTGGGCAGATAGATGGTCCTGGGTAGTGTAATAAAGTAAGCAGAGCAAGCCATGAGGAGCAAACCCTTAAGCATCACCCTCCAATGGCTTCTGCTTCAGTTCCTGCCCCTAGGTTCCTGCCTTGAGTTTTGGCTCTGACTTGCTCAATGATGGACTGTGACTGGAAGCATAACATGAACGATTCCTCCCCAAGTTGCTTTTGGCCATGGTGTTTGTCATAGCAATAGAAAATAAACTAAGACAAAGGTGTAAGAGGATGAATTTAATAAACCATGTCATTTCATTCATAAAAATTTTAAGTGGTTCCCACAATGGCAAGCTATTGTAGAAGTGGTAAGGAAAAAATTCAAGTCAACTATACTTGGTCCTATTCCAGACATTTGATTGTATTTGACAATTTTTTGACAAAATATTAGTCTGAATAAAATGTGAATAATTTTTTTTGAAAAATCATTTTCAAACCAGGAGGTGGTGGTGCAAGTCTTTAAACCTAGCACTTGGGAGGCAGAGGCAGGCAGTTCTCTGTGAGTTCGAAGCCAGCCTGATTTACAGAGTGAGTTCCAAGACAGGCTACACAAGGAAACCCAACCTTGAAAAACAAAAACAAAACAAAACAGAAAACCAAACTTGTTTTCACTGTGTGTTAATTTGTTAATGAAATGTCTGTTCCACCAGCATACACTGTCTTGATGGTATTTTCACGCACAGAAGCTTAACTCAAGCCTGTGGTAAAGTCAGTCTCAACCTTTACTTTTACTAGTCCTCATATCCTAACAACACAATAGAAGAAATATCTAAGTTTTCTAAGACACCAGAACAATGAAATAGGTGAAAGAAGAGCAAGTTTAAATGAGTGTTTTGATATGGGAGATGATAATATCCGAGTCAGCTGGTGTTTTTTATCATTTGTTAGCTCAGTTTCAGATTTTTAGAAGAAAGCAAGAGAGTCATGAAATTGGACTTGTGCACACAGAAAAGAGAAGGGAAGGCTGGAGGGATGTCTCAGGGGGTGAAGTGCCTGCTGCACAAGCAGGAAGCCTGGATTTGGATGCCCACCACCCACAGAAGGAGCCAGGTGTGGCAGCACATCCCTGCCACCCCAGTGCTGGGGGGGAGACAGGGGGAGCTCCCTGGCCAGTCAGTCCAGCCAGTCACAGACAACAGACAAGATCCAGAAGGAGAGCTTGTCTCAATAACGAGGTTGGGGAGTGAGGGAGGAGAATACCAGAGTTCAGCTTCTGGCTTCCACACCCACACACAGAGGAGTTCACCTGCACACACACATATACACACATGCATTCACCACACACACACATATACACACATGCATTCACCACACACACACACATTTTTAAAAACTAGCCAGGCAGTTCCAGAGGCTGGCTTCTGGCTTCTACATGCACATATGTGCATACACAACTACAGACACATGAACACACACACACACACACACACACACACACACACACGAGAAAGCTGAATATTTCTGTAAATTGTTGTACATGGTAAAAATGCAAAATGTTCTCATTAGTTCCCACCAGCAAAATCAAGTTCTGTGTCACGTTATAAGAGTATAATGGATGGGTATGTAAATGTGCACACAATACAGAGGAAACTTTAGGAGGCAGGGCTATTTTACTTTCATAAAGTAAAGGGGAAAGGGTTATTTTAGTGTTTCTTCCCCCCTAATATATATATATTTGGTTTTTCAAGACAGGGTTTCTCTGTGTAGCTTTGCGCCTTTCCTGGAACTCACTTGGTAGCCCAGGCTGGCTTCGAACTCACAGAGATCTGCCTGGCTCTGCCTCCTGAGTGCTGGGATTAAAGGCGTGCGCCACCACCGCCCAGCCCAAAAAAATATTTTTATTAATTATTTGGGAATTTCATACAATGCACCCAGATCACACTCACTTCCCATTCCCCCTTACACCCTCCCCCACCAAAACAAAACAAAACAAAACAAAAAAACATCAATTCCAATTTGTGTTGCCCATATACTCATTGGAACATGGTCAAACTCCCAGTGGCCAGTCCCTTAGAGAAAAATGAATTCTCCTGCCCTCACAGAAGCCATCAACTGTGAAGAGCTCCACTTCAGCATCCCTATCACAATTCTTCAGGACTCTCTTCAATACCTTCCTGTGTGGAAGGTTTCTCTTTTTGAGGGGGTTTGGGGGGAACGTGGGAAGACTGTCATAGAAGCCTTCAGTGTCTCTCATTCTCAGTTGTGAGTCTGCAGTCATAGACACCACTGCAAAAAGAAGCTTCCTTACTCATGGCAACTGCGGAAGCATGGCTCATAGACTTCCTCGTGGTTTCTGGCCTCCAGAAACCTCCAGTGGCAACATGGACCATGGACACCAGCATGGCCTCCAGCAGCAGCATGGATCACAGGCAGACATCTACATGGACCAGGGACATCAGCATGAACTGCGTGGGCAGCACAGATTGTGGTTGTTCGGAGTCGGCGTGATTGTGCAGCTGGGCAGCAAGGCTGGGGCAGGACCCACACAAGCTCCAGCTCCTGCCCAATACTCTGCCTTCAGTGCCAGCTGCCCTACCAGCACCCTGGGAACAACCATCATGCTTGCAGCCCGGGGACGCCACCAAAGCCCCGAGCTCTCCTCTACTTCAGTATCTCTAGCTAAGTTGAAGCATAAATAACACTATCCTAATAGTTGTAATATGTAGATCTAATGTTTCCTTGTGGGGTGTTAGTTTGCCACATCGTGCTAGAATTAAGAGAGATTCAAACTGGGAACTGGTGGTGTTTGCCTTTAATCCCAGCGCTCAAGAGGCAGAGACAGGCAGTTTGAGGTCAACCTGGTCTACAGAGCTAGTTCCTGGACAGCCAGGGCTACACTGAGAAACCATGTCTCAAAAAAAAGAAAGAAAGAAAGAGAGAGAGGGAGGGAGGGAGGGAGGAAGGAAGAGATTCAAAACATTCTTTTATCAATACGCAGAGATATGTCTGCATAATCACTGAGGAATACCTTGAAACAGTTTCTGTACTGAAATAATTTGGTTGGCTGTTTTGATTTTCCTTGACACTAAGACTTGCTATATTGATTGCCCAGGCTTGCAGCAAACTCTCTATGTAGCCCGGGCTGATCTTGAACTATGATCTTCCCACCTCCACCTCCAAAGTGCTAAGATTACAGGTGTGTGTCATCATATCTGGTTTGTTAATAATTTCGGTGAAGTTTCCTTTCATCTATTTAGCTATTCCATTTACAAGACTAGTCTCTAATGCCGTTGTCATAGGAGTGTCATGGAAAGGAAATATTAGGAAGTCTGTCACTGCAATCTGTGGCCATGAGGACATCGAGGACCACCCTGCCATCAGGAACATCCTGATCTGAGTGACCTGCACTGTCACCTGGGGCCATGGTGTCATCTGCCAGGGCCGCTGCAGGGGCCATGTCTGGGTCCATGGCCCTACAGCAACCAGGGTCTGAGTTGATGTCCTGGGCTCCTGTTGTCACTGAGGGCCACGTGGATAGCCAGGGTCTGGTCAGCCACCTCGAACCATGTTGGTGCCCGTGGACTATGCAGCCACCAGGGCCATGTTATAAGTGGCCTCTGCTGCCACTGGGGCCATGGTGTATCCAGGCCAAGCTGTTGCCAAGGGCCATGTCTGAGTCCTTAGTCCTGTTGCAGCTAGGGTCTGTGGCCATGTCCATGGCCTGTGTTAGCATAGAGGTCATCGGAACCATGCTGTGATGAGCTGACCCCGCCCTTCACTGGCCCTGGCCCTCACTTCATAGTGCAGCAGGAGAGCTGGCCCTACCCATCAGGGGAGAGCTTGCCTCTCCACCCCCACCCCCAGCTCTCAGGACAGAAAAGATGGACCCACCCCTCACCATAGGTGTGCACCTTTCCTGGGATGCACACTAGAGCTGACCCTGTCTCAGGACACAGATTGCCAGCCCTGAGGGCATGAGAGCAAAGGAGCTGAGCTGACCCCACCCCACCCCACCCTCTTTCATGCCCCTACAGCAATCAGGAGAGAGGGCCCTGTACCTTGCCTGGGCAAAACAGAGGAGCTGGTCCTGGTGATATGAGTGAGGGGGGATCCAGATCTGAGGGCCCAAGAGCAGAAGAACTGGCCCCAAGTCCTTGCTGTAGGCTACATTGGGTGAGCTGGCTGAGGCTGGAGAGCTTGTCCAAGTAGTGATGATGAGCGAAAGCTAGCAAGCTGACCGGCCCAGCTACCACCCAGGCACAGAATCAGGACTATGAGTTGGTCCATCCCAACATTTGTGAACTGTTGGAGCATGTGAAGGGGACGAACCTACAGATTCAAAACAGCAGGATTTCCATAACACAGGACAACAGGATTTCCAAGAGGAGCCCCAGTGAGAGCCCACTTTCAGAGGTGCAGCAGAAACTAGAGGCCTGAGCCAGATCAATGACTCATGGCAATGAATACTTAAGTAAACATGAATGAACTAAAGGGTAAACTGTATTTCAGTGGGCCAACTACAGTTTCCACGTCAAGATTCTTCCTCTTCTTTTTTTGTTTGTTTTTGTTTGGTTTGGTTTTTTGGTTTTTCTTTTAAATTTGGTTTTGATTGGGGGGGGGTTGCAAGGGCAGAGGGCAAATTTGAGGAGATGGGGAGATAAGTGGGAACGGAATGCATGATGTGAAAATCCACAAAGAATCAATAAGTTAAAAAAAGTAAAAAAAAAAAATCTGTCAAAGAAATTTTCACACCAAAAATTTATAGATATTACATATCACTTCCTTATTATCATCACAAAGTATTTACTGTGTTAGGAGTACTATGTTAGACCCTATTGAGGGCATTAATAAGACAACAGCTTTTATCCAAAGATTTAAGTAATAACAATTTAAATGGGGTAATACAATATAGAGTATAGCATCTCACTTATTCTATAATTAGCTAACTGTAATTAGTCAGCTGTTTTAAAAATTGGTTCTTATTTTTGAAAACAATTCAGCTATAACTAAAGAATTTTATGTTTTAGAACTTTGTTAAGACAAGATTTCATGTATCCCAGGCTGGCCTGGAACTTGTTATGCAGTTGGAGATGACCTTCACTTCTGATCTGCTTCCTCCACCTCCCAGCTGTGGGATTATGGCTTGCCAACAAGCCCCATTTTGTGTGGTACAGGGATCCCAGGACTTCATGCATGCCAACCAAGCACTCTCCCAAATGAGTCAAAACCTCTGCCCCTCAAGAGTTGCAGATTATTATTCTTGTTTCCAATTCTTGAAAATCAGAAATCAGAGAAAGATAAGTTTGAAAACTAGCCTGAATCTATTTCATACCACCCTGAACCCGTCAGATCTCATCTGAAAACTGGTTTCAACCTATCTATCCTTTTTCTCAAATGAATTTTCTGCAATCCCATGTTAATAATTGTATAGCTGTAATCTAGAGGACATGGTTTTTAAACCTCCACCAACAGAACTCATGTGACAAGCCATTTCCTCCCTTTCTATACTCAGGAGTCCATGAAGACTATGACAACACAGAGCATGCATTCTTTCTCATTACTATCCAAAGTACAGTGGAATACTTATTTTTAAAACCTACAGAAGTGAAAAATCTTAGCAAAGTTTTATAAGGCACAGAATTTTACTAAGATTCATCAGCTAATCTGTGTACCATAAAGTAAGACTGGATACTCGCCATTGTATTAATATGATAGAACATTCTCCTGTAAAATAATGTTTAATAGACCAATATTTACAGTACTTGTTACCCAATTATTCTAAACAAGGTAACACATATAGTCATTTTCCCTTTGCAAGCAGTTGTCAATTGGAGAGAGCATCTTGGTTAGTGATGGAGGCTTGTGTCCACTTCTTGCCCTCAGTGCTAGAACTCCATCTGACTTAGACCTGGCAAGCCCTGTGCATGCTGTCATGTCAGTCTCTGTGAGCTCATGTGTGTCCGTCCTGTTGTGATTAGAAGACACTGTTTCCTTGGTGTCATCCATCCCCTCTGCCTCTTCCAATCTTTCTGCCTCCTCTTCCACACAGCTGCCTGAGCCCTGAAGGGAGGAGTTTGATGAACACATCCCATGTAGCAATGAGTGTTCTCAGGTCTCTCACTCTGTACATTGTTCATTTATGGGTTTCAGTATTAGTTCTCATGTAATGCAGGAGGAAGCTTCTCTGCTGACGGCTGAGTGAGGCACTGATCTATGAGGATAGCAGAATGTTGTTAAGAGTCATTTTGTTGTTAAGTTCTTCTAGCAGAACAATAGTATTTGGTTTCCCCCTGGGTCCATGGCCTATCTAGTCTCAGCTTCTTGGCTACCCAAGCAGTGTCAGGCTTGGGTTCTGTCCTAGCTAGTTTTATGACAAATTGACATGAGCTAGAGTCGTCTAAAAGGAGGGAACCTCAGTTAGGAAAATGCCTCCATAAGATCCAGCTGTAGGCATTTTCTTAATTAGGGACTGAGGAGGGAGGGCCCTGCCAATTGTGGGTGGTGCTATCCCTGGGCTGGTGCTCCTGGAATCTATAAGCAATCTAAGCAAGCTATGATGAGCAAGCCAGTAAGCAGCACCCCTCCATGGCCTCTGCATTATCTCCTGCTCCAGCTTCCTACCCTGCTTGAATTCCTATCCTGACTTCCTCCAATGATGAACAGCAACGTGGAAATGTGAGCCTAATAAACCCTCCTCCCCAATTTGCTTTCAGTCATGGTGTTTCATCACAGCAATAATAACTGGGACACATTCCCTCTCATAGAATGGGACTTAACTCTAACCAGATAGTAGTTGGTTACTCCCACAACATTTGTGCCACTGTTACACCACTTTATCCTGCAGGCACACCACCACTGCAGTTCAAAGGGTTTGTAGCTGGGTTGGTGTTTACTTTTCTCCTCTGGTGGCATGCAGAGTCCTTCCCAATACCGTAAACACTAGTCAGTAGAGATAAAGGCTCTAGTTAGCCATCAGCTCAACTTCTCCAGGTTCAGTGAGATATGTAGGTATTGTCTCTAGCAATAGGGCCTTACCATCAGTTTGTAGAGAGCAACCAATAGCTTTGGTAATAGCCTGAGTTGTTTAGGGGTTTCCATGAGACCCCTTTGATCAACAACTTGGTTATATGTAACTCATTCCTGGTACTGGAGGTTTCCCTTGGTGGCAAGAGATGTATAGTTGGGGCTTTATCTCCCCCATTATTTGGTGATTCCATTTAGATTTCTTTCACATATGTATATATTTTAAGAAGCTTCTACTTTAAAAGGTTTTGAGGGCTCATAAAAGATTTATTTTAGGTGATATATAATTCCCACAATATCATGTTTGATTTTAACATTATAAAATCTAACATTTCAGGAGCAGCAAAAAATGGTAAAAAACATAACTGAAAAGGTGAATAAAGGTATGTTGCCAATATGTATGTGTTCAATTTAGACTACATTTACAAAACAAATCTAAGTAGCAAATGGCCTCCCTGCCCTTTGGTTTGTAGAGTCTACATTAAAGGCACGCAAAAGCAGGCACCCCT